TTTCTTTTGTTTATTTGTTTATATATCGATGGCTAAAGTTCGCACTTGAAGCGCAATTTAGTTTACTGTATAATTTTCTAAATTTTCATTTCTCAGGCTAGATTCTAAATAAACAAATGTATGCTTTTGAAGTTATTCTTAACTATTATTTTGAACTTTGTTCCAGAATTTCAGGGACCTTTCGCAGATCAAAACATTGGTGAAAAATGAAACTCTTTGGTGCAGCACCCTCATGTGCCCTCTTCGATGGGGATTATGCAGGGGTTGAGGGACAGAAGGCTGGAAACCGTTACCCCATGTAACGCGCCATGAGAGTTCGGGGCAGATATATCGGTTCGCCCCCCCCGCGCTATTCCGGTAGTGTTTTGTAGGGCCAGCCACGAATGAAATGGGGATGAACTCAGTTATGGTCGGCTAATTAATCGTGGCCCTGATTTTTTCCCTGTTTCAGTCATTATTTATGTATTCATTTTTTAGTTACATGTATTAATTTGTTTATTTATTCGCTTATTACTCCCAGTATGCTCAACTTGTTGTCTAGCAGCATTACCCGCAGTGCTTTCCAACTTGGGTTCCGGAATGGTTCAAACGAATTCGAATGAATTCTGAGAACATTTTGGTTTGGACTCGATCAATGCCGTTTCTGTCTTCCGAATTCCGATTTTCGATCGCCGAAACTATTACCATTAATAAACCTTCTCAATTCACAGAAGGAAGACCTTGTTAGTGCATAATTAAGTTTCCGCATGAATAGCAATTAGATCATCTTATTAATCTGTTAACTTAATTTCATTTAGCTATTTTTCATTGGCTATACTGTATCGAAAGCTGGCAATGCGTATAACGAGAGGGTGAGGAGGAAGAGGCATAAAAGAGAGAGAGAGAGAGAGAGAGAGAAAGAAAGAAAGAATGAGGACAACGAGAGGAAGGGCAGGGCAATGTATGTCCGAGGTACAGCTGGCAAAATGAGACCAGTCTATGTGGCCTTGTGACAATTAGCTAGCTCATTGCCAACCAGGACCAGGACTTTGTAGGTTTGGGGCTGTCGACAGAGGACAGGCGTTCAAGGCACAGGAAGGCCCATTGACTAGTCGACGGTTGTAGGGGGTGAACGAGGGAACAGAAGAATGAGAGAGGATTCCATAGCTCAGAAATGCTTAGGAAACCTCGGAAATCTCCCTGAAACAGCTCACCAACCATTGCGTGGGCGTTGCGAATGAGTTCTTGGATGTCCTCCTCCTGTTTCGCGATCCGTTTCATGCCCGTTTTTAAGGTGGCGGCCCGTCGTCATCTGTGACTGATGAGGAATCTGAAGTATAATGCTGTTTGAAGGCCGACGTTCAGGTGACGAGGTAAGTTTAGTGGCGAATCGGCTTGGAAGAATTTTCTGCTCTCCGGGCTCCCTTAGCGACCAGCTCACGGGAGAACATCGCCTGAGCTTTTTGCCCTCAAAAAAGCTGTAGCTAGCCTCACCTGCTCAGGCATAACCACCGATTGGATCTGGTACTTTGTCATCATCAGTGTCAGATCAAACAGCTTTTCCATACTGAAAATAGGCTGCCGTAACGTCATTTTTACAACACCTGGAAAAAAATATGGTTACCTGCTCTCGCTGAGCCATGATACTTGAATGTGCCAATCGTTCAAACATGGCTCGCATATGCCTTCGGGAAAACATGTGCTGCGGCCTGAACGTAAGCTTACCTAGGTATTTTGGAAGGGGATTCGGCGAGTCTAGTTACAGGCCTCACTTGAATATTCATGCAAATATTTTTGCGTTGAGTGTTGACCGAATAATGTCGGTGCAGATACCAGGTCACCCTTTTCTTCAGATATGTTCCTTAGATTCTGAAATGAGGGTTAGGTTTACGCCCCTTAGTAAGTAGTACAGTGATAAATGCGGTGTCGGTTCGCTAGGCTTCCAGCACTTCTTCAGCCTGAAGTTGTACAGTTTCGACGCGCTGAGACCGCGACCTGCGCCTTTTTTTTTTGTTAATAACATATGTTTGGAATAAACGAAGGCGGAGAAAGGGGGCGGGTGGAGTCATAAGAACCCGAAGAACTTATGTTGTGCCCTGAAGGGGTCTACAGATTAGTTAAGCGTCACTCTATATATAATTCCCGACCCCAATACCCGCAGAGCATCACGCGTTCACGAGCATGTATGTACATGGTAAAAACTGATCAATGGAGGCGCAGATGCCACATCCGGGCCATGCCGAATACTAAGGTGCGACCTCTGACTAGACGGCAGGGGGAGCTTTGACAAAGATGTATTCTTAACGCCATTTCAACCCCGTTTTTCTCTTATAAGTTTTCTTCTATGTCTGTCCGAATTAGCTCGAAAAGGCCTACTTTTGCATCTCCAAGACTTCGCTATACTACATTGACCTTCAAGAGTTTGCCTCCGTTTATCAAGAAGCATATCAACTAAACCGCGTGCGTATAGCCATGGACGTGATCGCATGCAGCCATTCGTTTCCGCTTGCGCCAACGTCGAATTTTTTACATAATCGGTCCGATTCTCCGTGCACCTGGTAGAGACCACTCTGCGTTTTTTCCATCTGTACGGTAGCCTTTCATCTTTACAAAAATGAGTCACTCTTAAAGGGCAAAGCCCGCGACCACAGATTGTGGGTAACGAACCCACATAGGAACGAAAAAGGGCTAGGTATCTGATTAGCGGAGAAAAGCAGCAGAAAAACAGTCGAAAATGCCCTAAATAGTATTCCATGTCGACCCCAACTTGTAATACGAATTTCCACTCGTCGTTATCATAAAGATATCAGCTCTTTTATCGTATCACCTCACTCTCACCATTCGGAATGGAGAGAGATAGCATAGTGGCTACTAGCTAGTAGCTAGCAGCCGGTGGGGTCGGCATGGGCCTAAGGGGCGCCTTGGGCCTAATTGGTTAGCTTGAAGCGCTGAATTTTTTGCGGAATTTTCACTTTTGAAGGCTAGCGCCAGCCTCGCAATCTCCTTACTAGATCGTCACGATTGACACATTTTGAACAGGACATAGCCTATTTTATGCGGCGAAAGTGCCTTCTAGGTGGCACTACTTTTAGATCTGTAACCTACACCCCATATCCGGCGATTGGGGGGGGGGTAGGCGCCGATGGGCTGTGTACTTGTAGTCGTCACGGCGGCTGCGCTTATCGTATGTTATATTTGGCTTGTGTCAGATGGGAGTATTCTATGCGAAAGGCATCCCATATAAAGTCCAAATATGAATACGCCACCACGCCCTTTATCCAGCCTGTCGGATATGAAAGATATATTTCCTCGTTTGCTCTGTCGAAGTGACTTTTTGCCCCCCTTTTTTCTCGTATTTTCCAACATTTTACACACAGTGGCTTGCCTACGTTGAATGTTCTCCGTCCAAAAATGCAGAATGCGTAAAGATCATGAAAACTAGTAGATTTGCCCCTCCCAAGGCAAAATGTCCCTCAACGTCTTTGAAACAAAGTGATTAAAGATCACTTACCGATCTACTAACGCTAGAATTCTCCAGCTCTTATCTACACTTTTCGGGTACTGTAACCCAATTAACACTCTATGCCACTCACCTTTATCCTCTGCTCGAGAATATAGATCATCTCACCGGCCATGTTCACATAGAGCAATGGGAAGCATTTTAGACTCATTTGTGGTGCAGATAGTTGGTTCAATATGGCCAAAATATTCAATAGAACGAAGTAGGGGGTTCAAACAGCCGTGATGAAATGTCCGTAGAAATGAAAAGATGGCTGCGTATCATACGAGTGTACGCAATGAAGTGTTGGTGCGCATATGTGTCGCTTCGAAGCTGAGAAGAGAGCTCGACGACGTGTGTTGTCATGACGACGTTCGTTTCGCTAATCAAAGCCGGTGATTGCAATTCGCACGCATATAGAGCGATATAAAGCTGTTGTTGAGTGTAATGGTGTGACAAGTTCTGTAATTAGGCACTAGTAAAATGAGCCCACAGGTGCAACCAACAAATCTGCGCTAAATATGGGGCTATTACAGGTGAAAGCAACGAATAGCCTATGTGGTGGCTCAAGTCGGCTTCGTTATGCAATCCAGGACAGTGGTGAGGTAGCGAAGGTTTGTGAAGGACTAGATCATGTGTGGTTACGGTGTGATTACGGTAATCAGATGCATATTCAGATTTTCAACGTTGAATCGATGACGGGTACGATTTGTTTGGAGAAAAAGCTTGACTATGAGAAGAATGTCAACCATCAACTTACTATAGCAGCTATAGATCAAAGTAAGTGTGCTGTACAGTTATACTAACCCCAAACTCTGGAGTCATCTGATTCGCCCTCTCCAAATAAAGGCACAAAACCGTCCGCTCATTTCTAGGTGCTCAAAAAGCTAACTAGCTAAAATATGGGACCTGCCGTCTCTCTAGAATCTGTAGGGGTAGTTAAACAACTCGTGGGTGGAGATGACGTAGGTGCCAGGGTAGTACCACTTGTGGTGTGGTCCGGAGTGCAAATCCGGTGATGACATTAACCCGTGCCAACAAGGCCTTCTTTCCTTCCAAGGTCGGTTCATTAGTACCGTATTAGTCCGACTGATATGCACATTGGCTAGTACATCGGCTAGCCCACTAAATCATTGTGTAGGTTAGGTCGCCTTCAAGATTCACTACGATTTTGAATGGATGCACAAAACCTGGCGCATCCCAGAAGGACGACTGCCATGAAAGCATTCAGTTTGCACCAAAGAGATGTTGACATTTTATCACAGGGAGCTGGAAACCGTCCTTCGTCCTTCTGGGACGCGCCAGGCTTTGTGCATCCATTCAAAATCGTAGTGAATCTTAAAGGCGACCTAACCTACACAATGATTTAGTGGGCTAGCCGATGTGCTAGCCAATTTGCCTATCAGTCGGACTAATACGGTACTAATGAACCGACCTGTATCGATGTTGACTTTCTCCAGTCAGTACCGTTGAATAAACTGGAAGGTGTGGGGTGGCTTGTCAGCTTGTGAGGTTAGGGTTATTGTTAGCATTTGGCAAATATCGGTTAGTTGCAACACTGCGCCGCGCCTTTTACTTCATTCCAGCTTGTCAGGCTCTGATGTCATTGTTCCGCTTCCTCTCAAACGAACCGGCTACCAACTGGCCGACCCCAGAAGGATCAGGAGTTTGGCCAAAATGGGCCAAACTCGACCTGGAGGGTGGTGTTCACTGACTAACTTTGCAATATCAGCCCCACTTCCGTTTACGTGTTTTGATTCCTCCCTTCTGCTTTCCCTTACCCTCCATCTACATACATTTATGATCCCCGCGAACGATAGCGAGTGTAAAGGAGCGTGGGTTGGAGTTCTGCCAAGGCACTTTTCCCACCAACCCACTGAGCTAGCAACAGCTGAAAATTTCATCTTGGCTGAGCTCCAATTCACGCTCCTTCACACGCCCTATCGCTTGCAGGGATCATGGCTGTAATAGTGCAGAAAGGGTGAAAAATAAAAGCTAAGAATTTGCTTTGACCTGGATTGCAGTAGAAGGCATCTGGCTCCCTTAAAGATTGGCAAGCTTCGGATGCTTAATATAGCTCGTCTTTTCCTTATCCTTAGGCTTATGCTGCTGGTAACATGACCCATTTATTCCATTAGCCCCTTTGTGACTACATGGAATCTCATAGCGCGATTCAGCGAAAATAATCTGTCAAGAAGATTAAGGCTCCTATTTACGAGCGAATTTTCAGATGGCTCAACTGGAACATGTCTGGTCAGTATTCGAGTGCTTGACGTCAATGATAATCTGCCAATCTTCTATCCGTCTCACTATAACGTCACCGTCCGAGGAAG